ATCTATTTAGCAATTGATAAAATTGAGTGACACAAAAAATAGTGAGTTTGTGACTTTTTTGTCTTATAAATTTTTTGGCATACACCATCCAAAAACCTCTACCATCGCCCAACACCACCCCTTCCTCCTCTCCCCAATTCCCAAACCATTGACCTACAAAATCATTGTTGTTTTTGTTATAGTCTGTCTTTCATTTTTTATTTCCTCTTCTTAGATTTGTTATTTAATTTTTTTTTTCTCCTTTAATTTTTGTATTCATTTGATGCTAAGTTTTGGTTAAAGATGGCTATTAATATTACTGTTTTTGTTCGTTTATTCTCATTTCAATTTCAATCGAATGGAATATTTTGCAGTTGATTGGGTATAAGAAGTGAACGTTGTTGTGGGTAGCCAAGGTTTTATGCTTCGTCAATGTACTGCCAAACATAACTATCTAAGGTTTTATGCTTCTTTAATCTATGATTTGGGTACACTTTTTGATTGTTGATCAATTTAATAATATTAATTTGTTTATGGGTGTGTTGGCATTTGGATAGTTTGGCAAAGTTCAACAGTTGATTTTAAAATCAATAGTTGATATTGGTTGCACGTGATCAAGCCACTATGTTGGTTTTCGTATAGGTGGTGACATTGGGGGGTTTAATGTACTCAGATTGTAATTTTGTTGGCATTGAGATATTGTCATTAATTTTGAGTTTTTGTTTTTGTTTGTTAAAGTTTTTTGGAAATGTACTTTTGAGTAAGAATGGTTGTTCAATTTATATCAATGAATTTTTATTTTTTTTATTCCATTTTTTTTGTGTTATAGTATGTTTTTAGGCACAAATATTAACTTTAGAGGTTTTGTTGTTTTTCGTATTTTGGGCAGTTACGTGCTAAGATACTACAACGGTGATTATAATGTTATTTGAACGATTATATTTAAGCTACTATATGTTAATGCAGTTAGATAATCATTTGCAACAAAGTATACTTTGAGTGTAATTCAATTTTATTGCATGAAGCATAGATTTTTATTTTTTTTTATACAAATATGAGGAGACACCATTAATTGCATGAGGTATTAATCTGGTGGAGCTTATAGTTGTAGAGATTGGGTTATATCTCAATGTCCACATGGAGCTTATTCCAATGTGGTTGATAATTCTGATTTCGTTGGTGGCTTGATATTTATCATAAATTGCTTCAAATCTTAGTTTTCTATTTAATAATATGTAGGAACATCATTTTCATTGCGATTGAGTTTCAATTTCGTTTTTTAAGTGTTGAATTAAGGATCTGTTAATTGTTGAATGTTATAGTTGGTAGTGGTATTGTATGTAATTTGTATGTGTTTTATTTGTTCCGTATTTAGTATGGTGAATTAAGCATGCATGCTTATGAAGATATGTTTGGTTTGAAGTGAATTGTTAGTTGTGTTGATCATTGATTTTGAGGTAAATAGAATTAAATTGTGGTGGTATGGTGTATTATGATAATTGTTATGCATAATTGTGAGTTTTGTATATAGGTTTAGATTTTTCTAAATTCCTATTTTTAGAAAATTTTGCCAAAATTTCTAAAAAATTGTAGGGACTAGCTTAATTTCAATTTGTTATATTAAAGAAAATGAAGTAAACATTATTTCAAATTGACAATTTGTTTTAGGTTATAAAAGTGTCTTTAGGCAATGTGATATTCGCTGAATTTTATTTCAATTTTTTATTATGTCGTGCGTTCAGGCACGGACAATTAATAATTTATATATAGAATAGGACTATTTATTTCTCTCTCCCTCACACACACACATATAGTAACATTAAAAATAAAAAATAGTAACATTCAAATACAAAAAATATTATCACTTAAACACAAAAAAATAAAAAATAGTACCATTGAATATTAATATTTGAAAAAAATAACAGTACTAACATAGTCAACAAAAAAAGTAACATTAAATATTGATATTTCAAAAAAAATAGTAACATTCAATATTAATAGTTTATCAAAAAAATAATAACATGCATAACAAAAAAATAGTAATATGAAAAAAAAAATAGTAACATTCAATATTATATTAATTATAATCTTATCAGCGCCAAAAAAAATGAGAGAGAGAGAGAGAAAGAGAAATAGAAACGACGCTAAATTTAAATTTGACTTTCATATTTTATGGAAAAAAATCTTTCATTATGTGTAAATCAAGGATAATTGTTTAAGAAATTGATTTAATTTTGAAGATTACTTTTTAAATCATTAGAAATACATTTTCGAGTTTTAAAAAAATAATGGACTTAACTACTTATTAATAAGATTAAAAATGAACTTACCCCCAAATAAGTTTCTTTGACGGATTAAATTCATCATAAGTCTCTTGAGGAGGATTCAACCTCAATTTTCACATTATTATACAAAAGAAATAAATATTTTTTGGGCCATCCAAAATTTGGGCCCTAGACAAGCACTTTTCCTGCCTAGGGCTTGAGCCGAGCCCTTGAGACAAACCCATCCCTACGCCGCCCCCCCCCCCTCCAAATAAAAAAAAAAACTTTCTTTCTCGGGGGGACCATTTGGTGATTTTGCTCGTTTTTATGCTACATTGGGTTTATTTATTATAGTTGGAGGCGCTGCTAGGTGATAATAGTTTCGGAAGAGTCGTGTTATGGTCCTTAATTTTTTTATAAAGTTCATATTATATCATCACGGTCATATGATATCATAACTCAATAAGAATATAATAATTAGATAAATAGATCTTAAATAATTAAATAACAAAACATCCATGAAATATACCATGAGTAATATTATTATGACCTAAAAATTGATTTAATTATGTCAATTTTTTAGGTTCTAATAACTTTACTATTACCCTATATAAAAAAGTGAAATTTAAATTTTTTTTATTTAATTATTTTTTATTAGATAATAACACAAAGTGACACGGATAATGTGGTGTCGCCGAATCATGAGCCTTGGGGTTCCATTTTAATTAATGTTAAAAAAATGGGAAAATTGTGCAAAAGTACACTATACACTACTTATTTATAAGGGAAACTTAATATAAATTTTTTGTGTATAAGTCATTTTTTGTGTAAATGTTTTGTGAATATATATGCTTTATCAATTTTTTAAATATTTTATTTATGTAAAAGTCATTTTCCTTTATTCGTAGAAGATAATTAGGTAGTTAATTGTGGGATTTACTTTCCTATTTTATTAGGACAATTTCCCTACTTTTTTTTTTTTTGATTCTATTTTACTAAATAAGTAGTTTCCTAAATTAAAAGATAATTAACCGTTTGAATTTTAAAAGGATTTCATTAATTTTAAAAAAAATATCTTCTATTCTCTCTCTATATATATCTAACTCTTACCGTTAATATCTCTCTCCGTATTTTATCTTTATATCTCTCTCATCGTTATTCTCCTCTCCCTATTCTTTCCCTCTCTTCCCCCATTTTTTAATTTTCTCTCTCCGTTTATGCATTGTTACATTTAAGTCATATACCCACCATGTTCAAAACATTGCATATAATGTTTATTTTGCAATGTGACATTGAAGTCACACTTTTGTTGCCCACACCATGAAAAAATAATGCACATGATGTGTAGTTCCATTGTGACATTAGATTCACACTATGATACTCACCATGTGTTTTTTAATCTTTATGTGATGTGTGTATGAAATGTTATATTAGAGTCACAATGTGATACTATCCCTGTGCAAATCATGTGCAAATCATGTATATAGTGTCTATATGCATCGTGATATTAATGTCACATTTGTTGTGCCCACAATGTGCCAATCCCTGGGTCACACTGTGATACTTTCCATATACCAAAACATGTATATGTATTATAATGTCAACAATGTCCCAACCCCACATGTATTTTACAAGCTATGTGACATTGGTGTCACAGTGACTAAACTCCTCATTTTTAATAAATCACAACGGTGTATGTTCTTCACAGTGAAACCCTTAATAATAATAGATTTTTTTTACACCTGAGAATGGTGTTTTGGGGTAAATATTTGTGTACTGTTTGAATTTCAAATTTTATCCTTAAATCGTAGAAACACTGACGCCAATGGTGGAGACATACGAACAATTGCTTTTTATTCTCATTCTTTCCACTGGTTTCCTTAGACAGATAGAAAACTTTTCAAATTAAAAAAAAAAAATTATTTTGGACATTGGGTGGACTTTTTTACATATATTTTTAAAAAGTATATTTTTTTTCCAATAATTTTAATATTGTGTACCGCCACTATTTTCCCAAAAAAAATTGTCCCCATTCTATACGATTATAAATTTGAAGGTCATGCGACTCTCTTGCTTTTTCGAGTTATTAGTTAAATTAATTAAAGATAAAAGACAAAAAGTGAGAACAGCAAAAAGGTTAAAAACATAAGTGTCACATAAGATTGAAATATTACAAAAAAACTAAAGAGATCCAAGAGTACAGATTACAAGATATGATTCAAATGTAAGATAAGTTGATGGATTTGGTTTGATGTAATGGTTTTTGCATCATAAGCAAGTTAATTTCTAATTCTTTTTTGAAAGCTTTTGCATCTAAGTCAATTACATATTGCGTTTTTTTAATTTATTATTCAATGATCAATGATGTTTAAACCAATTTACATGCATATCATCTAATCTTCTCCTTGATCCGGTCAAAGATAAGTCATCCACGTCGGAATTAGGATATTTATGAGAGATAAATTCCTCCCCAAAGAATTACTAAAATTCGAACTCAAGATATTCATATTACTATTACTTGAATTACTCCTTAAAGTTCAATTAAATATTTCGATCAATCAGAGGGAAGACCAAGTATAATGCACCAATCTTAGTTGAAAGATAGTTGCACCAAAACCTAAGAGCCAAGATTACACAAGAGGGATCAAATTCATTTGTAATATAGTTGATTAAATACTGTCATGATCATGTCGGGCACGAGAGGAGTCAAAGATGACAAATTCATTGTTAGCAATCAACAAAGACCAAATAAGATGCAAAGTTACCCGACGAAATTTCTGATAATGTTGACGTAATATAACCATTACATTGAATATTTACTCCATGGTTAGAGGCATTGGCTCCCAACCACCAGCACCACCACCCCCAATGTGTTTTCCTTCCCCAAATTACAAATATGATACACTCTGCTTCACAAAACAGGAAAAAAAATGTTCTTGTGTTTATTATTTTTCAGAATTTTGCTAGAAAATGACATTAAAAACCACTGCTTTTCAAGTTGGTATATGTTTCAGAAACATGGCCTTTTTATCACCAAAGGGAGAGGGAAAAGGTAGAAGGAAAAGGAAAAAGCATCCAGAATTGATAGACTTTTCTCCCAAACTGAAATAGAATGTCTTAGTATCTATGGACATGAACCTTATACAGAAAAGTTGGTGCCAGCTTCTCCTATATATGCATTAGGCTTCAATCAACATTGTACCAAAGTTCACCTGCACAAACTTGTTTTAAAAAAAGGGTAGAGCATGATTTACCCGACAACGATCCAAATCTTCACAAAGGTAAATAGAGTTTAACAGGTTCTAATTTACCGAATAGCAGCATATAAAAGGGAAGAGTGGTTTCCCCTTAGCTTTCCTCTTCTCTTTCTTGTTGTCGGTTGGAAACCTTGCTGGAGAGTTCCATTCCTTCCCTGCTTCTCTCTTGGCAGCTCGGTCAGAACCGAGAATTGAGTTCACAGTTGTTACTGCAGGAACATTGTTTTTCGCATTGGCTTCATCTTTCTGAATCACAGTTGGTGTTTGTTTCGCATTTGGTGACTTTGTTTTGGTCTCAGCGGCGTGTTCACCAAGAAGAGAGCTCAAAGGAGTGTGTTGATTCCCAGTGCTCCAGTTCGTCACCTTTGCAATTATTTCTTCGTTTTTCTTTCTTCCTTGCGACTCATTTACAACATTAGCAATAGAAGGAAACCACCCAGCTTGTGAAGCTTCAGATTTTGGCCGTTGAGCGTTGCCTACTGTCTGGATTTCAGAAGCAGCAGTTTTCAGGTCTACCCCACCTTCAGGTTCCACCAATGTCATGAAAGATGGGTGCTCAAAAACATCTGATGATTTGTTAGAATGGTGTCCCTCAGGTGCAGTTTTTGGCATTTGTACATTAGCTTTCTCTGATTTTTCTGCTGCTTTTGAATCAGTTGAAGGTAAAGCTTCACCATCCACAACTGCTAGTGCATCTGACTGGGTGGAAAGCACTGTAAGCAGGATCAACATGGTAGTGCTTTAGGGATTGTCTATGCGACAACATAAATTTAACCAATATCATTGGAGATAAGATGAACTTAGACCATCTAAGAGATGATCGTGCAAGCAATTCAGAAAATTATGCACATAGTAAGTACTTGTTTCGAGCAATTAATTGTTAAATCCTGCTCACTCCTTCACACGTAGAATGCCAGGAAAGTCTATATACGACTATGGTGCCTTGAAAACTGAGATTCAAACTACTTTAGCGAAAGAGAAAGGTGGTTTTAAATACAGTGTTCAAAGCCCATGCCATCTGCAATCTGTGTAGAAAAATATGCTGCTATGTCCAGCCACTATAAGAAAAGAAGAAAAAGGAAACAAAGAAAGCTTAAAAAACAAAAAAGAAAGAAATTGTGATTGCACCTGAAACCGATCCCCAGTTGCCTTCCAAACTGTCACTTAGGCTACTTGAATCAGCTGATATATACACTGCGGCAACTCCTTGTTTGCTGACCTTGCCACCATCTCCCTCTTGCAAGCGTCCAGAACTAGCTCCAGAAGCACCCCCAACACCATCTGCATTGTGACTTTCTTCACCACTGAGAGAACTTTCAATGGCAATCTCGGATTCAACAGGCAGAGGTCCAGGCCCTTTTGAAAAGGTGTTTTCTGAATTTTTCTCTGGTGTCTCACTATCACCTCTGTGATCTAATTCAGCTACCATACTGACTTTATCAACATGCTCTGCCGGTACTCGAGTATCATTAGTGGTTTCAAGCTCTTTGGTGGCTTGCTGAGGAACTTCATCGGGGCATTTTTGTAAATTTGACCGGTTTTGTCTCGTATTCACCAAGCTTGCATCAATATCAAAAATAGTCAAATCTGGAACACTGTCCAAACAAGTTGTCTCCAAGACCGCATGAGAAGATTCAATTACTGTTTCTCTCTTTATGGCACATTTTTCCACTCCAGCTGCTGCTTCTGTTTTTCCATTCTCGGCTGTATCAGATTGTTCAATTCTAGCTTTTTCATGATCATCTGTATCATCTCCTGCAACTAAGTTATCATGATCATCTTTATCATCTCCTGCAACTAAGTTAATAGCTTGATCAACTGTGGACATAGAGAACTTTTCCATGGATTCGAGGGTTTTATCTGTGTTTAATGAATGTTCTTCCTCTTTAACTCCTTCCCTGCTTTCATTTCCAGCAGTTTCACACTTAGGAATTTTATCTACTTCATGATCATCAGCATTGTTACCATCATTTAAGTTGGTTGAATTATTAACTTCATCACCATCAAAAGAACGAGTTTGCAATCCTTCAGCACAAGAATTTGCTTGCATTTTCTGTCTCTCACTCCTAGATGCATCTGCGGGGGCTTCTAAGCCATTGGATCCAAGATTTTCACTTCCTTTGTCCTTGGATTCAGAAGTATCAGCACCCCCTTTGATAGGCACCTCGACTATGTGCTTTTCTCCACCCTCCTGTTTAATGTTTCCTTCCACAGCATTCATATCTGCAGAAAAGGTGTGTGTGCTTACACTGGACTTATTTGATTCAGAACTGGAAAGAATCTCATCATAAGCCATATCTTTGTTATCATCTTCTACATGGCTAATTTCTTCGGCAGAGCCTAGGGTTAGAGGAAGGCTACATTTCACTCCTTTATGGTCTTTGTAATCGCCTACCAAAATCTCAGGCTGGTCTGCTGCAGGCAAATTGGCCACCAAAATCACATGCATGTCTTCCTTCCCTTCCCCCTTTTTCACTAAATCACCACGACTACCAACATCCAGGTCCTGGGAAGAATCTTCTTTGATTTGCACCATGTTAATGGAAGTTTCATGCTCAGCAGAGTTAATTTCAGGAGGAAAATCATGTTCGGACACAGGAATCTCCAATTCTCTTGTCTCTTGCTTTGATTCATCCACTGCCAAAGGAACTGAAGTTTCTCCACCAGTCACTTGTAACTTAGATTCAGCCTCGGATGCTTTGCTTGCAGTTTTGTAGGGAGGGTCTGCAACATCCAATGAAGTTTTAACTCCATTATCTTGTTTACTTCCCTCACCATCTATCTCCTGGCCGGCAATTACATTAATATCATGTTCTGGTGCATCAGCAAGGAAGTCGGATTTAGAGAGGGAGAAGTCACATGGAGGACCATCTAGAGGTCTAAGGTCAACAGCAAGTTCTTCGGTTCTGGTACCTAGAGAGGGTAAACTTGTGCACTGGTTGATTTCAGTGTTTGTAACCTCAGGGTGCCCCATTTGACTGCTCTTTCTGGGACTTTTAGGTGATTCAACAGCATCTACATAACAATAATGAACATAGAGATTAAGAATAGCATCACACAAACTATCTTGCTACAAATGCTAAGGTAGTTTAAGATTGTACCAAACATCTACACACAGTTAACATGAAAATAGGGAAAATAGGCTAACCATATTTAAGGAACCCAACAAGTTACATATAAATTTTAGGCAGCTTCAAATCTCACTGGAAAAACATAATTTCCAAAACAGATGCATCATATTTATGCACAATTCAAGCTAGGCAAGGCCAACCTAATATAAACACCTAGGACGGAAACCAGTTTGACTTCAACCAATTAAATTTGGAATATCCCTCAATTAGCTATTTTAACCATGCATGGCTCGAATGCTCCAGTTTGACTTGAATAGACCATGTTCAGCCACCATGGCAATGATCACAACATTTCTAATTTCTTATTCCCACAGGTTAAAAAACCAAGAGAATCACTAAAAACAAAATTGTTCAACATATTTAACCAGACAAACATGCGTTTTTTGAACATAATATGGGAATAATCTTTGGTTACAAAGAGATTTACAATGCTTGCCCTGTAATCTCCACTGCCCAAGTGCATACCTAAAAGTATGAACTGATGATCTGATCACTAACAGCAGCAGTTCCCCATTTTCAAAACACTGATGATGGCACTGACAGCTAGCACAGCACATGACAATGTCATTGACATAAACAACAGAGGAAAAAAGGAGGGAGGGGGGGGGGGGG